ATAGTCTTTCCTACATTATATGAGAGTTATTACACTGTATTCGTTTAAAATGTTAAGATGTAAAAAATCTTGACTATTATCTTTGTGTCAATAAACCAAAAGCAACTATAGAGTGATAACTGAAGAATTTTAACAAAAGTACGGGAAAGTTTGCTTAAAGTGTGGTATGTGATAATCCTATTGTAGCAGATGAAATGCCTCCACTATTTTGTTACCAGATAACCTTTTATGGAATATATAGCTAGCTTCTCTAAGCACAGCACAGCTGCAGAAGAGTTGATTCTTCCAGTAGTCTTAAAGTTGATGGAACATCAGCAGTGAACTGTAGTTAGGCAGTACTTGAAGAACCCTAAAACTAATCCATTCATTGCTTTTGCCAGAGCATGCATGTCAGACAAGTTGTCACTTATCTTCGTCTATGTGCTTGACATCAGCCAGAATGAATGTAAAGGGTCATATAAGTCACCTGAGTTAAAAAAAAAGTTTTTAAAACTTTATCCTTCCATAATTGGCAGCGAAGAAAAACATGAGGAGTGAAATGAATAGAAAATGCAACTGAATAGTTGAGTGAACACCGTAACCAGAAATTACAAGAACTTAAATTATGTATAAAACATCAGGATTGAAGTGTGTGGTCACTAGATTCTGATTCGTCAGAACTAGAAGTGTAAGTTTCAAAGTTGTAATGATATAGTTACAACTACTATCTGCCGTAAAAGTAAGTTTTTAATACAGAGAGTTAAAAGTATTGCTTTGGTTAAATGGGATTTCTACAAGCTTATGTGTATACTACGAGTAATAAATATATCTCTTGCGCTTATAAATACTCCAGTCTCTGAGATATCATTAAGGTTCTACATTTGACCAACATACAGCTGTGTTGTTCCATGACAACAGCTACCTATAGCTGCCTGCATTCCTTCTAATGCTGTCTGTTTGTCATGCAAACAGAGCCTGGATCCAGCAGGGAAGAACAGGGGTTCCAACACAAATAAATGAAACAGGGTAGCTGCAGCACAAATGCTGACCTCTATCTTCTGATCATGGAAACCCATTAGCCCAGATATTTCACTTTCAATAAACTTCTTTCAGATAAAAGTTTAGTACAATCTGGGATGACTTTAAAGCAATGTTGAGTGGGTGTTAACCTTCTTCATCAGGCTGTACACCTGGTCTACACCGTTGTGTATTTCAAGTGTATCTTGAACTGAAATAAATGTTAATAAAATATCCAGTAAAGTAATATGCTTACAAAATGTCTAAGTCCGCATGAGTGAAAATATTAAAACCTGACCAAAAAATACTGGGTACACCAAGTTCATCTTTGGTACGGCACATAAGCTAATGTTAATGAATTTAACTTTCTACAGATAATTTATCCCACTCATAAATATTAAGATTCAATAAAATAGAAAATATTTGTCACTACTGTTGCTGAAATCATGCTATGGCAGCACGCTTCCATTATGGAAAGCTCACAACTATATTGCAGAACACCATCTTCAACAACATTCGGTGCCCAGTGTCCCCTCTGCAATTAAAACAGCTCAGGATGGCTTCAGTGGCACATCCAATATATCTAGTCTAGTCTCAGGTGGAATTGACCATAGTTTGGGTAGTCTCCTATAGAGACTACCATATATAGTCTCAGACTTGCCAGAACGCAAGACATCATGACGACCCTCAGTCAATCCTCACTGACATTGATCCTCAGAGGTAGAACTCGATAAGTAGCTCTGAAGACCTCTAGCTGTGTGTAGGTTAACCTTCCTAGGCCTTCACTTGCAGCAAGATTGCAGTAATGGACCTTCATAGCATTCTGGCTAAAGTAAAACATCCAATATAATTCCTCTCCTGAGGCTCAACCATTCTTTCAAACAGCTAGGTATCCCAAATAATTGACTCTTTCTCTTGGTTATAAGTTCTTTGACTCGTAGAAAATTCCATTTCCCCTTGTATAAAAACAGCAAACCTAAAGCACACGCAAGAGCTGAGAAGAGCACAGTAAAATGTATTTGTCGATAAAACAGAAAACTCCTCAACAACAAAACCTGTGGTCATATCACTAAAATTTCTCCTTATTACCTTACTCTGTTGTATTACCAGATGCACTTGTTACTTTAGATTTAAGAGTAGCACCACAAAGCCGAGAAATGTATCTTACTAAGCTTGATTGTTTGTTTGTTTTTGAATTTCGCGCAAAGCTACACGAGAGCTATCTGCGCTAGCCGTCCCTAATTTAGCAGTGTAAGACTAGAGGGAAGGCAGCTAGTCATCACCGCCCACCGCCAACACTTGGGCTACTCTTTTACCAACGAATAGTGGGATTGACCGTCACATTATAACGCCCCCACGGCTGAAAGGGCGAGCATGTTTGGTGTGAGAGGGATTCGAACCCGTGACCCTCAGATTGCGAGTCGAGTGCCTTAACCACCTGGCCATGCCGGGCCCACTAAGCTTGAAGAAAGAGAACAAATATAATGCAAAAGTAGAGTGAAAAGCAATCTTTTTTAAAGAAAAATAGCCAAACGCAAACAAGTGTACTTAAAGATAGACAGCATTTATAATGAAGACTTCTTTATTTGTAGACTGATAACTTGCAACTTATTTGCTACTGAATAACCTTACTTGTTTCTGAGTAAAGAGCATAGCATTATGTATAAGATCCTATAATGGCATCCCATTGTGCCTATGCTACACACGACTGGTGATCTTCCTAATACATGAAAGTAATCTCCAAGGTATCACCTGACTTTCCTGTGAAAACGATAACTTATCTCTTTTAAATAGTTGGTGGGTTACGTTACTAATCACTGAGCACAGTATTCGAGATAACGAATAGTAATGTTTTAGTTACCAGTATTAGCACGTTTAACAATGTATTGATACTCGCTGAGGGTATTTATTTCAATTGTTTTCTGTTATTCTGTCATTGGAGTTATGCTGTTCATTATTAACAGATAAATGTATATTAGTAAAGGTTTTGCTCTATCGCAGCCCCCCAGTGGCATAGCGGTATGTCTGCGGACTTGCAATGCTAGAAACCGGGTTTCGATACCCGTGGTGGGCAGAGCACAGATAGCCCTTGTGTAGCTTTGTGCATAATTAAAAAAACAAAACAAGCTCTATCGCAAGAGATGATAATGTCACTGATGGAAGCACGACCCTACCATTCCTAGGTTCCATCCACTGACATAAACAATACATTACCACGAGTGTATAGATAAACACTAATCATACAAATAGGTATCTACATCTCGCACCCAACCTCTCAGTTTAAATAAATGTAAAATCATCAGATATATATTTCAAACAGTCAGAAAATTCTCTGACAGAAAACACCATAAAGAAAAAGAAAGATCTTTCCGATCCAGTGGTTCTTATTAACTTAATCTCAACCTCAAAGACTAGGAGAATTAATTAATCTTGGCAAAGATCAACACAAAGGAAGACGCCTCTGTAGTTCATTTTACAATTAAGTTACAAACTTAGAAATAACTTGTTTCAGATTCAACATCCAATAACTCTTAAGAACCACGATCAAACAACCAATCAGCAAATTGAAACAGAAATTTCCATTTACGCTGATACTTACGTGTGTAGAAAAAAAATCCAGCAGATCTATAGAACAAAGAGCGAAAGAACATAAAGATGCCACAAGATCACAACATATCGAGAACTCCAGCTTAGCCGAATATACCCATTAGAACTAGGATCAACATCATATCCTGAACATAGCTCGATCAACACTTAAAATTAAAAATCTTTCTACCTCAAAATACTTCAACCAAGTCTCAAAAGGAATCAAGGACTAGAGTTCACAATAATGACGACATAAAAATGTAAAAAAAAAAACAGTCTAAATTTTGTTTGTTTGTTTGTTTTTGAATTTCGCGCAAAGCTACACGAGGTCTATCTGCTCAAGTCGTCCCTAATTTAGCAGTATAAGACTAGAGGGAAGGTAGCTAATCATCACCACCCACCGCCAACTCTTGGGCTACTCTTTTACCAACGAATAGTGGGATTGGCCGCAACATTATAACGCCCTTACGGCTGAAAGGCCGAGCATGTTTGGTGTGACGGGGATTCGAACCTGCGACCCTCGGATTGCGAGTCGAGCGCCGTAACCACCTGGCCATGCCAGGCCTAACAGACTAAGTGAATTAAGAGACAATTTTCAAGGAATGCATTAAAAACAAATGTTTTCAAATTTTCGAATATTACCCATGTCAATTTCCTGAAACTATTAAAGAGGCTTACTACAATCATAATTGTTTTTATTTCTTTGTACTGTTTATTTAATCATTTGCCCCAACTTATTACTGTTGAATTTTGGTGGATATAGTGTTGTTAAACAACAGAAATAACTGATGAATTTTGATGGTTATAGCGGTGTTGGGCCACAGAAATGACTCTTAAACTTTGGTGGTTATAATGGTGTTGGGCTAATGACCTCATTTATCAATGCTTAGAAACTTTTATCGAAGAAATAACTATTACAATTTTTTCAAAATTACAAATAGGTTAGCTTGAAGGAATTCAAAGTTTTTAAAGCCAAGTGACTTTTAAAATAAGAAAATCAAATAGTGGGTGTTATATTGAGCATATGAAACTGAATTACTGCAGAATCACACAAAACTTTTTCGTGAGATTTTTATCTGTACAAAATATTAATGAAATTATTAGGTCTCTATAATCAGAGGCGTCATTTGAAAGCGGCAGGAGCGACCACCGCTAAAGCTCGGAAGGGGTGTCCAAATGACAGTACTGTGAAAAAATTCTAATGAGGCAAGATTAACACATATAGATAAATTACGCCATAGCGTATTCTCCAGCTGAATCAAGGGTACGCGAGATTAGTCCTCCAAGCCTTCTGTGAAATGACGCTCTTATCTACAATAATTTATCATCCAATTTCTTATCAGGAGCAAGAATTTATTTTTAATAATATATATATATATATATATATCTAAGAGCATTGTCAATCACATTACACTGTCTGTAAATGTTAGTGTCTAAGATCACTAAAGAGGGTTTTAACAGTTATTTGAAATATACACTTACTTACACCGTCATATTTAGAATACCATTATTCACGTGTTCTCACTAAGTAGTTAGCTATTTAATGTTCGATTGTTCATGCGCTTACTTTCCAAATCATTGTTCTGGGTTATTCAGCGAGTGGCAGTTGACGACACATGGCACGAACAAGATACTGGCAGACGGAAAGAATCTATGTGGAATCCATTTTCGTAAGTCCACGCCAAGAGACGCTGATAATTATACTTCTGGAGACACCGAGAAGAGTACGAATCGTCCAAAAAACTACATGGGGCTCCAGGGGACCTAATACGAAAAAGAGAATAAACAAGAAGATATAGTTCACAATTTCAAATAAATAGAAGACTCAAATTCGATGACGAGGAACCCACTTTGAGACTAATAATGGTTGGAGACGGCTTGAATGGGTAATGAAGAAAAACTTTAATATAAGTTTAACATAACAGCAAATGTACAACGTTTCTACCTGATGATGGCAAAACCTTTTCGGTACGTTGTATATTTGCTGTTATGTTAAACTTATATTAAAGTTTTTCTTCATTACCCATTCAAGCCGTCTCCAACCATTATTAGTCTCAAAGTGGGTTCCTCGTCATCGAATTTGAGTCTTCTATTTATTTGAAATTGTGAACTATATCTTCTTGTTTATTCTCT